TGAACGGGGTGACACATGCACTCTAATTCTCTGAGGTCACACAGGTGGACTGGCTCTCTGAGGTTTCACACACGCTCTGGCTCTGAAATTGCACATGTCAGCTGTGGTGTCGGCACCCTTGGCTGCACTGATCATTACTTTGGTCTCACACATTGGCATTTCCTCCCCATCCACAAGCCTGGCCCCCTAGTGGACACAAAATAATTTACTTTATATTGCTTGTTACAACAGGAACTGTCACTGTCACTGTCCTCTCGTTGTTCATCGATTTGCTCGAGCGAGCCCAGTAACGTCTTCACTGTGACAATTGTTACTGTGTTTGGCATTTCGAATACGTCACGGGGAGCTTGCCAGGCTTTGCCGTGCAGGCGAGATACTCTCGGTAGCTTGCCGTGTTCTCCGAGAGGGGCAGAGGAATCGAACTCAGGTCTGCCATGTTGGCTGCATGAAAGGCAAATGCCCTACCCGCTGTGCTATCGCTCCAGCCCTACAATAGGAAAGTGTTGGGAAATAGAATATCAATATCAATAGAAATCAATCTGTGATCATTGTTCTACCTCACAATGGTGTTACTAAAGCCACTGTCTAACGGTTTACTGGACTGTTCTCTGCAACTGAGCCTTCTGTGCTACTATTTTTGCTCACTGGGCTTGTTGGGCTTCCAACAACATTATAATTTTTTAGTGTTTTTATTGAATCACTGTATGGCAGACAATTACAAAGCTGTTCATGAATGAATTTCAGTCATACAGTATTCCAACACCCATCCCTCCACCATCCCATCCATCTCAGCACTAGTGACCCCAGGTTCCCTCCCATCACTCCCTACCCTTCATCCCCTTCCTGCCTCTATAGCAGACACTTCACTTTTCTCTCTCTCTCTCTTGCTCACCCTCCCTAGTCTCTCTCTCTCTCTCTAGCTCTCTCTCAGGCATTGTAGTTTGCAGTATTCTATACAACTTTTTATCAAATCTGCTGTTTTTCTACTGGATGGAATCAAGTAGCTCAAACTACTTTGAAATGTGCTATCGTTCCAGAAGATGGAACCATTTGGTGGCTTGGTAGCTTGATGAGGTTCAGTTGTTGACCTGGGCCATTTCTATGCCTGAAGTTTTGGGTGTGGGTGGGAGCTGTTGGCCTCAGTGCAGGGGAGGGTGGCTGGGGTGTTTGGGGAATCTGCCCAAGCCCATTCTGAGGAGGGCCCAGAGTACTCAGCACTGACTGGTCTACATGAAAGATTGAGCAGTTTGGCATTCTTTATAAGATTACTCAAAGAGATACCATCTGACACCACAGAGGCTGGCCCACATCCAAAAGAACAAAAGCAACCGGTGTTGGCGCAGATGTGGGGAAAAGGGGACTCTCCTTCACTGCTGGTGGGAATGCTGACTGGTTCAGCCCTTTTGGAAAACAGTATGGTCGCTTCTCAAAAAATTAGAAATTGATCTTCCTTTTGACCGAGCCATACCCCTTCTGGGAATATACCCCAGAGAGGGGAAAAAAGTATAGTAGAAATGACATCTGCACTTGTATGTTCATGGCTGCACTGTTTACAATAGCCAAAATCTGGGAAAAACCCGAATACCTAAGAGCAGACAACTGGTTGAAGAAACTCTGGTATATTTACACAATGGAATACTATGCAGCTGTTAGAAAAGATGAAGTCATGAAATTTGCATATAAGTGGATCAACATGGAAAGTATCATGCCAAGAGAAATGAGTCAGAAAGAGAGGGACAGACACAGAAAGACTGCACTTATCTGTGGAATGTAAAGGAACAGAATAGGAGACTAACACCCAAGAATAGTAGAGATAAAGACCAGGAGGTTTGCCCCACGGCCTGGAAGCCAGCTTCACATGCTGGAGGAAAAGGCAGCTCAGATAGTGAAGGAAACACTAAGTAAAGGGTGCTGTGAGGACCCTTTCTGGATGGGAGCTGCTGAAAATAGACTATTGACAGAACATGATGGTCACTCAAACCTCTATTGCAAACCACAATACCCAAAAGGAGAGAGAGAACAAAAGGGAATGCCCTGCCACAGAGTTCGGGTGGGGATGGGAAGAAAGTGGGGGGTGGGAGGGATACTGAGATCATTGGTGGTGGAGAATGGGCACTGGTGGAGGGGTGGGTAACCGATCATTGTATGACTGAAATGCAAACACGAACGTTTGTAAGTATGTAATAGTACCTCACAGTGATTCACTAATAAATAAATAATAAAAATTTTAAAAAGAAAAAGAAAAAAAGGATTACTCAAAGAACTGGACCATTTCTATGCTGAAGATATAAAAACTGTTGGGAACTAGATAATAAAGGATATGGACAAGATAGGTCCTTTATGGGAACTTTCAACCCAGAATGGTGGTGCTAGAAGTGGACTAATGCCCCAGTAGGGAAGGGGTGTAAATGTATTTGCTCTATCTCTGCTTCCTCTCCTGAAGGAATCTCCCCTTGAGAAAGCCCATTACAAAGATGTTTTTCCCCATGAACCAATTAATCACTTAATCACTTAACTTCCCGTTAGTCGTCGATTTGCTCGAGCGGGCGCCAGTAAAGTCTCCATTTGTCCCTGTCGCGTGCTAATGTAGCCCAATGGCATCTGTTCGCTCTGGGAACATGAGGAGCCTCAAACCGATCGTTCATGATCTTGATGAAGAAGTCTGACCATCTGGTAGGTGGGCGGCCACGCGGTCTTTTGACATCCCGTGGAATCCAGTCGGTAACAGCTCTAGTCCAGCGGTCGTCTTTAAATCTCATTACGTGACCAGCCCATCTGATTTTTGACACCTTGGCAAACGAGACAGCGTCCCTGATTCTTGATCGTCGACGGATGTCCGAACTCCGGATTCTTTCTCTCATTTGAGTGAAACGTGATATTCCAAGCATAGCTCTTTCAATGCTTCTTTGGGAGACCCGAAGAGCATTCTCATCCTGTTTGCGTAGGGCCCAGGTCTCAGAGGCATATGTTAATGCAGGAAGAATAGTGGAATCAAAGAGATGTGCCCAGAGCTGGAGGTTCTTCGTCCTCTTAGCTATTTCTTCAACGTTCTTGAAAGCGTTCCAAGCCGCTCTCTTCCTCCTGCGCAGCTCGGGTGCCAGGTCATTTGTCATGTTGACTTCTCGACCTAGGTACACATAGCTGTTGCATTTGGAGATGGTCGTTCCATTGAGAGCGAATAGGGCGTCAGGAACGAGGCTGTTTCTCATAAACATTGTCTTCGTAAGATTCAGCTGTAGTCCTACCTTTCCACACTCACGGTCAAAGTCGGCCAGCATTTGTGCCGCTTGGCTGATGTTTGGTGTTATTAAAACAATGTCATCAGCAAAGCGGAGGTGGTGTAGTTGTCGACCATCTATCTTCACTCCCATTCCTTCCCATTCCAGTCATCGCATGATGTTCTCGAGGGTGGCATTGAAGAGTTTTGGTGAAATGGTATCACCCTGCCGAACCCGTCTCTTGACATCAATGATTACTTCTTTGTAGAATGGTGAGATCCTGGTAGTGAATCCGCAATACAGCTCATGGAGGATCTTGATGTATTGGGCTTGAATGTCCTGATTGGCTAGGGCTTCAATGACCACTTCCGTCTCGACAGAATCAAAGGCCTTCTTTAAATCAATGAACGTTAGACAGAGCGGCATCTTGAACTCCCGAGAAACCTCAATGAGCTTGGTTATGGTGTGGATATGGTCGATGGTGCTGAATCCTTTGCGGAACCTGGCTTGCTCGCATGGTTGTCCTTCATCTAGTGTTCTGCCAATCCTATTTAGGATGACTCGAGTGAACAACTTGTAGATGACAGACAATAGGCAGATCAGGCGATAGTTGCCAATGTCATGGATGTCTCCCTTCTTGAACAGTAGTACAGTCCTGCTGGTTTTCCATTGGGATGGAAACTTGCATTCAGACAGGTAGCGTGTGAAGAGCCGAGTCAGCATATTGATGAGTACTGAAGGCAGGTTCTTCAGGTGTTCAGGTCTGATCTTGTCTGGGCCAGGTGCTGTTTGTTTTTTTTTTACTGATGAAATGGCGTGTCGGATTTCGGAAGGGAGAACGTTGGGAACGACATATCCATCCTGTGGAATTTGGTATGTCGGCAAGTGGACATGGCTATCGAAGAGATCTGAGTAGAAGTCATGGATAATCTCCTCCATTGCCATTCTGGAGGACGTGATGGATCCATCAGGACGTTGGAGGTCAGTCATCTTGGTCTTGTAGTTGGCGAAGGACAGGCGGGCGTTACGAATACTTTTCCCGGCTTCTGCCGCATCTACCAGCACTTCTGCTCTTCTCTCTTTGAGGTCTTCCTTGATCACATCAAGATGAACCAATTAAACCCCAAATTATAAAAGCATAATATTAACTGTCTTCCTGTATCTATACAAAAAGGACATTGCTTTAAAGTAAACTATTCAAAGACATAAGGAGAAAAGAAAGGCAATATTTCATTCATACGTATAAAATCAGATCTCTGAGGAATCTGACCTTACAAGTTAACAGAGTCTGATTAGGGGGAAAAGCTGATTAACTGATTGGGGAGGAGAGTGTAGGGAAGAGTTTACAGAAAAAACACAATGGAATAGAAGTGCCTCAGGAGCACTGTGATAAACCTGAGTTCCTTGTGGCAAGGGAAACAAGACATACCAATCTCATCCTAAAATGTTTAGAGCTACATTCCAATAAACACAGAGGAATGGAGGTGCTTCAGGAGCACTGTGATGGGTATCACCCTAAAAACCTGAGTTCCCTGTGACAGAGGAGAGTAGGCATACCACTGTTATCCTACAAGGGAGTAGGTGTGAGAGCAAAGTCCCAGGTCCCTGTTGCTCCCAGAGTCCCCAGGGTGGTGTGTTTGGGGCCTGATCAGGCCTATTCTCAGTTTCACTTTTACCTCAACAACCTGTGTCAGAGCCTTCTGCCCGGATACTCGTGACGTGTCCCCAGTCCTCACTCCCATTGGGTGTCGCTGTGTAGCCATCAGCGAAACTGATGGGGGATCTCAAACAGTATGAACTTTGGACTATGAGGGAGCCTCGACCCCTCCTGCTGCTGCTCTTGGGGGCCCTGACCCTGACCCAGACCTGGGCGGGTGAGTTCGGGGTCGGGAGGGGAGTTCGTTGAGGAGGGGGAAGGGCGGGGACTGCCAAGCATTGATGAGCAGGACCCCCGAGAAGGAGTTTCTCCGATTTCCTGCCCGGTTTGTCCCGGCCAAATGTATCTCCTTGTCCACCAAACCTTCAGCTACTCACACGTCCCTAAGTGTCGCCCTTCTCGGTCCCTCCCCCGCTTTACCGTCTCCCGAGCCCTGACCCTGACCCGGATCGTGCGCGGCTGCGGGTCTGGCAGGGTCTCACCCCTTCCCCTCCCCCAGGCCCCCACTCCCTGCGGTATTTCCAAACCGCCGTGTTCCGGCCCGGCCACGAGGAGCCCCGCGTCATCATTGTTGGCTATGTGGACGACACGCAGTTCGTGTGCTTCGACAGCGACTCGGCGAGTTCGAGGATGGAGCCGCGAGCGCCGTGGGTGGAGCACGAGGGACCCGAGTACTGGGAGGAGGAGACGCGGGTCGCCAAGATCAATGCGAAGAATTACCGAGTGAGCCTGAGCAACCTGCTCGGCTACTACAACCAGAGCGACGTGGGTGAGCGCAGCCGGGCAGGGACGAGCCAACACAGGGACGGGACGGGTCAGCCTGACGCGGGTCCGAGCGTCCCCGAGGCTGAGGGACCCGCCCCGGACCCTGGACCTGGAGGCGCCTGCGGGGACCGGGCTTAGTTTCGGTTTCGGTTCAGGATTAATCTGTGCGGGACGGGTCAGACTCTCACACCCTCCAGAGCTTGTACGGCTGCGACGTGGGGTCCAACGGGCGCCTCCTGCGCGGGTACTACCAATCCGCCTACGACGGCGCCGACTACCTCGCCCTGAACGAGGACCTGCGCTCCTGGACGGCGGCGGAGGGCACGCAGGCTTGGCGAACCCAGCAAAAGTGGGAGCAGGCGGGTCAGGCTGAGCACTGGAGTAGCTATGTGGAGGACACATGCGTGCAGGAGCTCCGCAGATACCTGGAGAACGGGAAGGACGCGCTGCTGCGCCCAGGTACCGGGTCCCCAGAGAGTGAGGAATCCTGGCCTGGGCGGGGGGGGGGGGGGGGTGGGGGGGGGTCGATTTCCCACAGGGGGTAAGATACTGGCGTTCACTGTCAGAACGCCCCCCCCTTCTTCAGTCAGGAGAGGGATGAATCCCCCTGGTTTCCATGTTCGGTACCATAGAGGCCCACCCTCCCGGCAGGCCCACCCTGTGTGCTCAGAAACAAGAGAGACCCCAGTGTCCCTGGGGGAGGGTCGACCTTCTCTGAAATAACGAATGTGGATTCCCAGGGACCCGACAGCCATCTATGAACTTTCTCAGATCTTAACTCTGACTCCTGCTTCTCTCAGTCACTCACCCTCCACCCAGGGCAGGAACAGAGTCAGGTCTCTTGAGAGACCTGAGCTTCCTACCCAAACCCTGTTGGAGAATTTTCTGAGGAATAGCATTTTATCCAGTTTCTCCAGCCAAGCTTGTCTACGGATTTTTGCCTCCTATTCCAAACCAATTATCTTGTTCAAGCTCATTGTGAAGTGACCCAAAGTGTGAATTTTCTCATTTTTTCTCCTCAGAAGCCCCCAGAAGACACATAACCCACCACCCCTTCTCTGACCATGAGGTCATCCTAAAGTGCTGGGCCCTGGGCTTCTACCCTGCCGAGATCACCATGACCTGGCAGCGTGATGGGGAGGACCTGACCCAGGACACAGAGCTGATGGATACAAGGCCTTCAGGGGATGGAACCTTCCAGAAGTGGGCGGCTGTGGTGGTTCCTTCTGGAGAGGAGCAGAGATACACGTGCCGTGTGCAGCACCAGGGGCTGCCAGAGCCTGTCACCCTGAGATGGGGTAAGGAGGGGGATGGGGCATAGAGCCTGTTCTCAGGGGAATCAAGGTTGGCCCCTTTGGGGAACTATTTATGAGGCTGGGGGTCAGACCCTCTCCTTCCTTCCTTCCCAGCACCCCCTTCTCAGTTCACCATCCTCATTGTGGGCATCATTGTTGGCCTGGCTCTCTTCGAGGCTGTGGTCATTGGAGCTATAGTGGCATTTGTGATCAACAGGAAGAAGCGCTTAGGTAAGATGGGGAAAACGGATGGTGGAAATCTGTTCAAGTCTTGAATCTTGTCCCACTTCGGGGGTCCCCCCGTATTAGTTCTTCTGCCTCATTAGCAAGAGCACCACCCGCCACTGTGCTGCTGCTCACACTCCCCCTGTGTGTGCCGCTCTCAGGTTTGCTCATGAAAGACACTTTCACCTCCATAAACTGGGGATCATCCTGGTTCTCAGGATCCCAGGTCACAGGGACTGTCCCTGCTGAGCACAGACCACCAGGAGGAGGCTGGTCAGTCAGGAGCTTCTCCTTCCTGCATGTTTTCTGGTCCTGCCCTCAGTCTTCAGAGTTCTGATGCTTCCCTGGAGTCCGGGCCTAGAGAGCTGCTCTGTGGCCTCAGGACCCAGTGCTCTCCCTGACCTTCCCTGGATGTTTCCTTCCCGCAGGTGAGAAAGAAAAACAGTACATTCAGGCTGCAAGTAAGTGTGGGCAGGGCTGGGGTCCTCGAATTCTGGGGACAGAGATCGGAGCCCCTGAGGAGCTCTCACACCCCTGGTACCTCCTCTAATCCCACCCCTGGGGCTCTGACTTGTCCTGTTTGTTCTTCCTCATAGATCGACAGTTCCCAGGGCTCTGAGGAGTCTCTCATGAACCCTAGAGGTGAGACTCTGGAGGCTGGAGTGGGCGGGATTGGACAGAGGGGACAGGACTGGGTTTGGGCGTTCTTGGAGAGGAATGCTGGGCGCTTGCTCAGGATGTCACCACATTTACGACTCACCTGAGTCTCTTTATTCTTTTCTCTCACAGAGCGAGACAGCTGCCCCTCTGGGTTTCCTCACATCTCAGTGTTGTGACTCAAGAACAGCTGATTCTCTTTCTGCCACGGGATCTGTACATGACTGTGTCTTCACATACTGTGAGGGGGGCAGCTAGTCACCCCTGCCCACCGGGCCTTCCCCAAACTGACCTGTGTTCTCTTCCCTGATGCTATTGGCTGTGCCAGCAGAGACAGGACTCAGCTGTCTCCCTCTGTGTTAGCTTCTTGTTTTCCTGAAAAAGTTTCTCCCTTACTGAAATCAGCATCTGATTTGCATTTTTCTAATCCCTGTTTTGTAGGATTGAGGGGTTAATAAAGGAAATCCCTGAAATTTGAGAAGGAACAAATAAAAATCCTGAGACCTTTCATGTGTTTTCTGTTTTGATTTGAGTCTGTCCCTGATGTGACAGGAGAGGCTGTGAGGGGATGGGCAGGGACAGACCTGTGCCCTGTCTGTCTCTCTCAGTCACTGTGGGCTTTGATGTGGTCACTCATCGGTCTGGGTCATTTCTCCTTCTCCTTGTCCTGGTCCCTCAGTAGCACCTCGTCCCACAGGCCCTTGCGCACAGAGACTCAATCACATCACACACAGCCTCATCCTGTCCCAGGACCATGGGCAGCGAGGGCTTCTGTGCTGGTCAGTCTAGGCTCAGGCCTGGGTCTGCTCCTCAGCCCCATCTGGGTGTTTCTTTGTTGCTTCTGTGCAGGAGGCTGCCTGTTCTCTTGTCCATACATTCATAGCTCATTCTCTCAGTGTGTGTCCCCATCTCTGAGCCTCAGGAGGCATTTGCCTGTCACTGTCTCCTCAAGGCCCAGCAGGACCACTGCACACAGGAGTCTCTGGTATCGAAATATGAGTGTTCATATGATCATAGAAAATGTGATCTGTGAGCCAAAGTTGCTCTCCTTTGGAGAAAGAAAGTGCTGTGTGCTGTGGGATGCCAGTGTGGGAGGGAAGTAAAGTGAGGGTGAGAAGCATTTGTGAGGAAAATGGAGGTGACATTGATGTGACTTGGAGTAGACATTGTAGCTGCCACAGCACAGCATGTCGGTTGAGGTTGCATGAATAAGTCAGTGTCTCTACTATGGTCTACACTGATTATCTACCCACTGTGCCAGATATGGGGATGATCAAAGAACAGAGAATGAAAATCAGGCGAAACTTACCAGCCTTGGAGATTTAGTAGGAAGGAACAGACTTACACTGAAAATATAATAATCAAGGCAAGTGTTCTGGTTTGAAATTGGTAATCTCTGGGTAAACAGGACCCACTTATAAGTGTGTGGGGACTGGGACAGTGACTGTTTTCCTTGCCCAGTCAGTATAGCTCCACGGGAAGGTGATGTTTGAGGAAATATGGAAGGATGTGAGGGACTATTTGTATAGGTGTCCAGTGTCAGGCAGGAAATCTCAGTTCAAATGCCAGGGCAGGCATGAGTCTGTCAGGGAAGAGGAGGCAGTGGTGTGGCTGGAGCAGTCACTGAGGTGAGGTCCTGGTGCCCACAGGTCACGAGGCTCCCATGACTCTGGAAGATTTGACTTTTATCTTAGAGGGGCAGCTCCAGACAGGTTTGAATGAAAGTTCAGACTGGTGCAATTGTGTCTGGGTCATTATTCTGGCTGCTGTGCAGATGGACAGGTGAGGGGAGAGTGAGCAGCAGGGAACTGGGAAACTGGTGCAGGTTCCAGGGTAGAGACTTTGGGGGCTTTGGGGTGTGAACAGGTGAAATAATGGAAGTGACTGGATTCTGCAGGCATTTGAAGTTGGACTTTACAGCATTTCCTAATATATGGAATCGAGGTTAGGAGACAGGAGTCAGAGAGAAACCTCAAATGTCAGGCTGTGCAAGTAGAAGTATGGGTGCTTTCACTGGACTAGAGAAAGATTCTGGAAGAAGCTCACTGAGGCAATGACACCAGAGGGTCCAGTCAGGAGGGTGACAACTGAGACCTGTCAGAAAGGCAGGAGAGGTGGGCACCTGTACAGACAAGTCTAGATTCAGGTAGGGTGTCTGGGCTGGGATAACTGTCTCCAACAGTGATATTTAAACCTTGGAGAGGCTGGAGAGATAGCATAGCGGGTAGGGCGTTTGCCTTGCACACGGCCGACCGGGGTTCTATTCCCAGCATCCCATATGGTCCCCTGAGCACCACCAGGAGTAATTCCTGAGTGCAGAACCAGGAGAAACCCCTGTGCATCGCCGGGTGTGACCCAAAAAGCAAAAAAAAAAAAAAAAAAAAAAAACTTGGAGAATGTATGAGGACACCGCAAGAATGATGACTAAAAAACAACAACAAAGATCAAATCCTGAACCCCCAGAGCTAGGCGATCTGACCAGACCTCACAGATGTGACACCGTGTGGAAGGTACAGAGATACGGAGCCACAAATGCCAGTGAGCTGATTGGTTTCTTAAATCTCAGATACTCTGACATGGAGGAAATTCTGTGTTTTAATATGTTTGGAGACTCAAATGAATCTCAGAACCAAGTAGTTCCATGAAGAGACTTTGGAGAGGCCTGAGTATTCAACAAGCCCAAAGCAGTCCTGAGGTTCAGGTATTTGGGGAACCCCTGAATCATTCACTAAAGAGCAGTGTGGGTCAGTGATGCTTAAACTCAGTGTTTCTGGGGCCCTTAGGTACCTCAGACCACTGGGATCACCTTGGGTACTACCAAGGCTACATCCTGGGCTCAGGGAACCAAGAGCTGCTGGGATTTAACCTGGTCCCAAGTGCAAAGCATGGACCTCTAACTCCTTTGTTGCTTTGGAGGGAGGGGGGCGTATGACTCTACAATCACAGATCACTCCTGGCATCCTCAGGAAACCATATGGGGATCAAATCCAGGTTGACCACATGCAAGGTAAGCGTCTCCCCTTGTCCTGTCCCTCAAGCTCCCTCTAACTCCTGTGTTATCTACCTGCTCCCCACATGCCATTTCCCAGTCAGGTCACTCTCTCACCTGTAGGGGCTGTCTCACTCCCTCTTCTCTGTGCCAACCAGTAAGGTACCTCCCCATTCCCCACATTCATGAGATGAGTTTATTTCATTTTTTATTTACTTTCTTGGTTTTTTGGCCACACCTGGCTGTGCTCAGGGATCACTCCTGGTGAGGCTCAGGTGACTATATGGAGTATCAGGGAAGGGATAGGTAAGTGGTGTGCAAGGCAAGTGCCTTACCTGTTTTCCTAACTGTCTGATCCCTGTATTTCACCAAGAATAAACTGTCTCTCAGGAAAGAACAGCTTCATCATCTCCCCACTCTCCACATCAGGACCTGGATGTTCTTTCTCCCCAACGATGTGGTAGGACTGTAGTCCTGCCCATCTACGGCACATCTCAGCTTGGGACAGAACTGGGACCTAATAAATAAACTAAGTAAGTCAAGGGCTGGAGTGATAGCACAGCGGTAGGGCGTTTGCCTTGCACGCAGCCAACATGGCCGACTCGAGTTCGATTCCTCCGCCCCTCTCGGAGAGCCCAACAAGCTACCAAGAGTATCTCGCAGAGAGCCTGGCAAGCTACCCATGACATATTCGATATGCCAAACACAGTAACAACAAAGTCTCCAATGGAGATGTTACTGGGCCCACTCGAGCAAATCGACAAACAACGGGAGGACAGTGACAGTGACAGTGACAAGTAAGTCAAAAGCTTCCAAGATACACCACTGTCAATCCATGTCCTCTTTCACCTGCTGTCTCATGTCTCCCATACTGGTGCCCAGATGGACCCCAGGGCCCACCTGTGAGAGCCAGGATCCTACTGTCCACCGTGCTATTCTCCTGAGACAGCCAGTTTTTAGTCCATCTCTCACTTACTTGACTTCTGATTTTTTCCAAAGTATGTAAAAAATGCTTTTAAAAGCCTAATACATCCACAAAGCTTGAGGTTCCAAATATTCATACACACTCCTCATTTCTTGAAACAGCCAGTTTTTTCCTTTTATGAGATCTCTCATTGTTATCCAAGTTGACTATTTACAATTATATGACACAATTATTAAAAATACCATTCATACATATTTTTCCTGTATATATCAAAACAAAAGATTAAAGGCAGAAGAAAGTATGAAAATCCTGCTAGTTTCTGATGAGACAGAGAAGGAAGATAGTTGGAAAATGTAGCATGGGGGGTATGGTGCCGCCTGCAGGTCAATCTGTAACTGTGAGGCGAGTGCATCAGCAGACTGATGGCACCATCAGACTTTCAGATACCCCAAAATTGCTGCTGTGCCTTTGGCCAGACCCAAAAAAGTTGGGGCAAAGTTTACCAAGAAAGTAAGTGGCCAAAAGTTAGGTATGTGGGAGACACACCCACAAACCGCCTCTGGCTCAGCTATATAATTGGAAGCATGGTCTTTCTGATTCCTGATCAAACTGCTTAATGGGGGGCTGGAGCAATAGTATAGCGGGTAGGGCGTTTGCCTTGCACGCAGCCAACATGGCCAACACAGGTTCGATTCCCAGCACCCCATATGGTCCCCTGAGCACCGCCAGGAGCAATTCCTGAGTGCATGAGCCAGGAGTAACCCCTGAGCATTGCCAGGTGTGACCCAAAATGCAAAAAAAAAAAAAAAAAAAAAAAAAAAAACTGCTTAATGGCCATGATCCCAGAGGCTCAGAAACGAATCTCGGAACCCAAAGGCTTTTGGCAGAAATGCTTCCTGTTTCTGCAATAGGTTACTGACACTGGGCCACTCCAGGTGGGAAGAGGTTTCATGCCTTGGCCTATTCTCCCTGGCGGCCTGGTGACCACCATCCTCCAGAGACCACTGGACAGTCAGGTTTGGGCCTGCAGTGACGAGACACACAGGGCCTCACCAGATGGGGGTGGAACTGGCCCTTTCCTCCCCATCCCAACGAGACCCCGAGCCACTGCCTATAAACGGCCTCTCTGGCTCCTGATCAAGCTGATTAATGGCCATGATGCGGAGACTGAGAAACAAATCTCTAAACCCAGCGGCTTTTGGCAGAAATGCATCTGGACCGCATACAAGATGGCCGCTGCCTCAGATTTTATAGGAAAGCCAGGTATGAGCCGGCAGTGACAGGGCAACTGCAGTCTCATGGGAAGCGGGGGCAGTACCGGTTCGTCCTTCACGCCCTACCAAGGTCACGAGTTGCCCCCCCACAAGTGGCTCTTCAGCACAGCCATAGCTCCAGAGGCAAAAGGACTTAATCCAGAATGCTGCAGGTTGCAGCAGAAAAGTGAATGGACCATGAGTTAAACTACGGCGCCATGCCTCCCTTCCGCCTTCCCCCCCCCCCCCCCCCAGCAGCAGGGTGGCCACCACCTCAGAGCTTATTGGAAAGCCAGGTATGAGCTGGTGGTGATGGGGCAACTGCAGTCTCATGGGAAGGG